GACCAACATAGGCCTGTCAACCATGAGTCTTGCGAGGGTGGGCCTGATAGGTCGAGGACTTGGCAGCGGGTCAAGCGCGCGACAGAGCACTCGGAGGAGTTCGCCGGGAGATGCACGATCACATGTGGCGAGCTGGTCAAGACTTGGAGCGACCTAGCGACCTACAGACGCTTTACGCCCAATCATTCCGGATAACGCTTGCATCCTCGCTGCTAACACAGTTAGCCAATGCTTATTCCCAGATACCGTCATTGCTTCTTCTCCGGGAAAAAAAAGTTCACGACCTGTGGGCCTTCTACCTCTACGCGGCATTGCTCCGTTAGGCTTTTGCCCATTGAGACTTCTAGAAGACTTGAAGGCCAAACTAGGCCTAGAAGGATCTAGATGGGATTAGCCGATTTTATTAGCATATTAGTTAGGAGTTTTATTATTTTAATTATGTTGAGATTTCTTAGATAAGGTAGCATAGATATTTAGTTTCCTTAAAGGTAGATGTTAGATATATTATTTCTTTAGACTTAGAATTCTAGTTCTCTTAGGATTAGATTTAGTTCTTGTCTTTAAATACCTTGTCTTGCCTTTCGATTTTATCATTGAAGAATTAATAAGAAAATCGTCCTCTTGGACAAATCTCTTGTGTTAGAATTCGTTAGAACTAGGTCGATAGTGCGAGTTTTATCACAACTTATCGTGTCTAGACGAAGGTCGTTAGCCTGCGCTTATTCACAAACTGAGTCAAGATACATGATTCTTTATCAGCGGGCCTCGGTGATCCTTGGCGGGCTTGACGACAATTTTTTATTTTTTTAAAATACTAATTACATTATTTTATTTTATTTTATTTTTTGTAATATATTAGTATTATTATTTAGACTTAGGTGTGAATTTATTATAAGTTGAAATATTTTTATTTTGTATGTAGTGAAATTAAATAAAAAGTAAGATATTTAATTTTAATATCTAGGCCCCGTCTAGCCCTGCCTAGGCGTTCTAGGAGTTAGGCGCTAGTCGAGCATATTCGTCGCCTAGCGACTTCTAAAACACTGACAAAAAGTGGTCATGTGAGCAACACGAGCATAAGTCTCAAAATCTGCTGAAAGCCTTTAGCAACTGGGTGAGCTTTATATCTCTCAATGGAACCATCCGACATGGTCTTAATCTTAAAGACCCACGTACTGGTGATAGGTAAGGCATGTGACGATAATGGAACAAGGTCCCAAGTGCCAAAATGCAGCAAGCTCCTCAGACACACATCTCCCACTCCGGAATACTCGAAGCGTCTTGATAAATTGATGGCTCATCAATAATAAGTGGAAAAGCATGATCATGTTAATTATATCTCTAAGACTCTAACCAACCTGACACTCCAAGAATAGCATGTGATACTTCGAAAGCAATAAAATCATCAAAGATGGGTGCATCAAATAAAATCATCAAAGATGGGTGCATCAGGACTGGTTGTGGCTGCAGCTGCAGTAGAATGAGGTGGAAGAGTTGTGTTACCTATGGGACGTCGAGTATAGACTTGTATGATATGTGATTTATATGAGGGGGCTCGTCAGTGTCGTGAAGCTCATCATGAGAGATTGTGACTTAGGGAGATTGTAAAGAGGCAAAAACTTCATCATTAGGAGAAATACACAAGAATGAGGTAGACTTTGTAGAAGATGTTGGGTGTGTGGAAGAGTTATAATAGGAAGGACATCACGAGATATACATATGCGATAAACAGAAGAATCATAACAACGATAACACTTATGCTTAGGACTATAGTCGAAGAAAGAAAGTTACTACCACTGAGCAGTTAGTTACTCTTAGGGAGTAAGCAAAACATAATATTTTGATCCAAAAGGTCAAAAGATGAAATCATTGTTATGGAGAGTTCCAAAAAGGACCTCACCAGGAGACATGACGATTATTGATTTATAGACACAACTTCTCCCAAAAACTGAGAAGGAACGAGGCAATCAGAATGGTTCTAGCAGTCTCAATGAGATGACATTGTTTTCTTTATATAACACTATGCACCACGACAGGAGCGCAAGAGTACCCTCATACGTAAGAAAGTGACGAAAATTGTCATAAATAGTAGAATGAAAGACTCGAATACGGGTAGATAATTGTGTATGGACCATGCGAGAAATGATCTTGTAAATGGAACACAACTGAAATCGAGTGTTATTAATGGCAGATGGTGAAAGGCAGTAAATGGTGGTTTGCCAAAAAAATTTGCTATGGTGGCCTATAGCACCGCCATAACCACCATCCTCCACAAATTTAGCATGCCGCCATGTCCGCCATTTGATAACTCAGGATGTTTCATAAAATAAATACAAATATACCGAGAATGATCATCAATAAAAATAGCATATTTATTGCCACCTTTTACAAGAATAAGGGAAGGACCTATATATCAAAATCTATAAGGTGAAAAGGTTTAGTTGAGAGAAATACTAATAGAATATGGGAGTTAAAGTTGTTTTCTAATCTTGCAAACCTGACAATGAAAACTAGAGTCGAAGATGTATGACTTAAACAACCATTCTAAATCATAGGATAAAAATGTGATCCACATAGATGATCAAGATAGCGATGCCACTTGGCGAAGGATAAGGTGGAAAACGAGGCAACAATGACACAGGAGCAGTAAAACCAGCAGAAGAGAGAAGATTAAACTGTTTAAAATGTAGAGACTCGAAGCTCTACGGTGATGGATGGCCAGTTCCAATCAGAGTCTCGCTTCGACGGTCCTGAATAACACAAGATGAGTCGTCAAATCCAACAAAACAGTTTGATCCGGCCAACTAAAAGAGGATTCATGGACAACTTGGGAACATAAGAGATATTAAACACAAAAACATGAATTGTGTAGAGAACTCATGACAAGATGTTCCATCATCAGCTGTTTGGATAGAAGTACCATTAGTGACCGACTTGCAGGCAATTAATCGGGACTGATTATTGTCACATGAAAAGATACTCCTGAATCGAGGACGTATTGAGGAGTATTGGCAGGAGAAGCAATACAAACCCCTTTGTAGCACGAGTTATACTTCGAGCCCGAGCAGCACTACGTGCACGATGCTTAACGAACTTTTATATGTCTTGAGAAAAACAGCTCGGCAGTATGACCTGTCTTCCCGCAATTCTTACAAGTTTCTGTTGAGCCACCTCTAGGTGCACTATGTCGTGGAGAAAATGTTCTTTGAGAAGTTGCTAATACATTATGTGATACTTATTGAGGAGCAACTGGCATAGAATGGACAGAGACTCTCCAGGATCAGATAATGCATGTGTCATGGTTAGAGTAGAAGAGTCATGAAGCAACCGTGGACGAGTAGAATCAAATTTTACTCATATTTCCATCACAAAACAATATATGAAAGTTTTCTCAACAAATGTATTTGCTCAACACTACTCTTCCTTGCATCGAGGTACCATGGAGATCAACGGTGTCATCAAACAATCAAAAGTCGAGTAGTACGCATCAATGGACATTTTTTTTTTTTGTTGAATCACATGATATTGCTTCATATGTGTCTAGAAGTTAATCACTATCTTGAATGGCTGAATGTAGCGTTATTGCAAATAGGACCATTGCCTCAGCTCTCTGAAAAGAAGAAAGGCTCATCATCATGATTGCTTGACACCGTTGACGATGGTAGCCATCACTTTCCTATAATTGATCTGCCCTATCTTCGTGTCAACAACATTACTATTATCGGCAGTTCGTTTGGGTCCATCATCAGTCAAGTGGAAAGCCAAGGCTAGGGCATAACCCCTCAATACCCCTCAATACAGTTTCCACAAGAAAAGCCCAGTCCTGATAATTCTGACCATCTTGAGTGATATTGATAGCAGTAGTATTGAGTTGTGACATGATTCAACGATGTATGAAAACAGGTATGCCTTCACGGACAACGACGTATCAAACAAGCAGCAATGGGCTGCGATGGCATATGAGTGAAGTTGCTGCAATGGACAGCGTAGGGCACGGAAGAGACAAGTGATGACAATAAATGGGAGTTTACGAGTGTCGGGATGGATTAGAACACATGAATTCTAAGCTCAACAAGTGGCTGATCTGAAAAATGCCAAAATTGGCACCAAAACTTCCCAAAACTTCCGTCAAGTCACGCGCCTTCACCCGCCAGCGCGTGTGGCAGACACGGGACGGAGTTTACCTGCGAGATTTGGACCAAGAGTCAATTCCGGGGCGGCTAGGTGACTGGTGTGGGTGGTGAGACTTGAAGAACAAGAAAAACTTATTTGTTTTTCTCTGAAACCATGTTACAAACCTAGGGTTTTGTATAGATGATTTCCTTTGATGTGAATGACCATATACATAGAATTTTTCATGACCTAAATGGGTCTTATGGGCCTTGATATAGTTAACAGATCGAAGGTTCTGCCCTTTCACTAATGACATCTTTCACTAATGATAATGAACTTTTACTGTTTGGTAGCAAAGTTTAAGATTCTCCATAAACAGAGAAAAAATTGAGGATGCGAATATTGATTAGTCTTTGATATGAGGTGCTTTTCACAAATAACTCTTTTATCCAGTCAGTCATTTACACTTTGTTTTTGAACGTGAAAACGTGAGGGGGAAAAAGAATTTCTCTCCACTCTTTGACTGTTGTGGCAGAAGGTTCAATCAGCTATTAGGAATTATCATTCTCGTCTCATACACTGCAACTTTGAGAAAAATATATCGTAGGTTAATCAGACTTTTTGTTGCATCCTAAGGTGCTGCAGGATCAGTTTCTATGCATTAATACGTCAAATGTGAAATGAGCTTTTTGCTATAGCATGAAATTTTGGGTTGATTTAGACTTTTAGTATCTCATGACACATAATGTTTATTGTTTAATCTTATCTTTCTTCTGTTCTGTGTTTGCAGAGTTCTTAAGATGATGCATGTAGTTTCCTCCCATGCTTCTGATAATCGGATGTCTTCATCGGCAATAGCTGCTTGCATGGCTCCATTGCTCTTGCGGCCTCTTGTAGCTGGTGAATGTGAATTAGAGGACGATTATGATACCAACGGAGATAATTCTGCTCAGCTTCTAGCTGCTGCCAATGCTGCTAATAATGCTCAAGCAATTATTACATTTCTGCTTGAGGAGTATGAAAATATTTTTGATGTATGTCATAGATACTTATTAGTTTCTACGTTGATAGAGATACTGGCTGAAATTATCCGCTTTCATTTTCCCTGCCTCATTTCTATTAACATAATTACTTTTGGACGCCTTCTGTAGCTATTGGTTGTTCCTTTACTATACAGTTAGAGTTTGTAGTTACTTGGACAATTATTGTATGATGCAATTAAGTGTTTGCAAGCTCTGAAAGGAATAGATGGGGAAAAACTGAATATTTTCAGTATCGTAGCGGATCACCATTTTCTTATTTCAAGTTTGCATACGCTCCCTAAATCTGCGTGAAACACTTTCAGAAGTTTTGGAGTGTGGTTTACTGATCACTTTGCTTTCTGTTCAGGTCAACAGTGTGCGCAGATATTCCATCTCGGCTCATTCTCAAGCCAATTCTAGTGGAAGTGAACATACTAGTGATGAAGAACACCCTGGCGTGAAGATCAATGGTTATCATGATGCTGAAAATGAAGTTGACCCTGAAGTAGACATTGATCGTGATCGCAGGCTCAGTGGGAAGTTAAGTGAAAGTAGTGGCTCTGCTGCCATTGATCTGTATGACTATAAGGTTCTCTCTCTCTCTCTCTCTCTCTCCCTGCTTGTGTGTGTGTGTGTTCAGGTTCATAGAGAACTGGGCATTTATTGTTTGAGAATGAATAGGATACACTTGACTGTTCAACTAATTTTGATTTCTGTAACATCTTGATGGAACCTATTTTAGTAGTAACAATAGTAATGGTCATTTCTGCTAAGAGTGACTTAAGACCTCTTGCCTGAATGTGCATTTTCCAAAAGCTTGTTGCTAAATATTTATAGTTTGCATTTATAATATCAGGCTGTTCAGAATGATGCTTCAGATGATGGATCGCCCACGAACAGTAGTACTTTGGCAACAATGAAAGCAAATTTGGAATCTAGACTCCTTAGTTATCCTATTTCAGCTCATGAGCCACTAGACCAACAAAAAAGGGCAAGTGATAGCATGACTGATGCTTCTGCTGATGTGCTTGGTAATGAGTCGCAGCGATCCATGGGGGATCTTTTGTCTTCTATCGATCATGAGCTACACCAGTCTATTCTTGGAACGGAATTATTGCCAGATACACCGATGCCTAAACCTAGGAATCCTAATCCGAGTGGCAAGAAATCGACATTCTGGGGAAAGAGAAAGGTAAATGTTCCTTTTGTTATTTGAAACTCAGCGGAAGTCAAAACTGAAATGGAGGAGGAAGGGAAATGAGACATTTTCTTTTACTGTAGGAAAATAGACTTATTATTTTATAAAATTGCAATTGTGTGTAATTGAGTTAATAATTATGCTTATTGTAGGTAAGGACAATCAATGTTGAATTGTAATTTGGATGAAAGTATAGCTGTTATGTCCTACTTTATATGTGAAAATTTCTGCTATTAGCCAAAGATATGACAATAATAATGTTTGTTTTACAGTCAGTTTTCTGCTTAGTCAATCAATCTCTTCTTGTGAAGTCGACTTCACGGACGTCTACACACTCGAGCCCTCATGGTGAAACTTATGTTTCCACTTCCCCAGTCTTTGGAACTGTAGAAATGCACTACAACTTCTATCTTTACCTTGTTCTAGTTTGTATGTTGTGCAATATCTAGAATCTCCGTAGGCATTCCTATCCTGAAGCACTTGAGCACAAATGTTGAATATTCATAAGTTCTTTCAAGTTTTCCAGTTTGTTAGTCCTGATGTATAATTTTGGGTAGGTCAAGAAGAACCATATTCTAACGTAGAGATTATAATTTATTAGTATTCTGTCCCATGGTTTTTATTCTACTTGGGTTACCTGTTTTCTTCAATGGTGGCCATGAAATGGGTTTAGTTTAACCAGATGAAGTATTTATGATTATTCGTTATAGAACTACAATAGTATCTTCCATTCCAAGCATGCTTATTTCAAAATCCTTGTTGCTAATTGAGATTTCCTCAATCAGTTTTTGCTTATTTTGCTTAGCTAATGTGTTACAAATTTTTCTAGATTTATTTGGTTATTTATCCATTTTATCTTTTAATTCAGATTCTCTCTCTTTCTTTTTTTTTTTTTTT